TAACATTCAATACACTTTTAATCTGTTGCAACCAGTTAAATGGTCACAGGTGTTATGTACCCTTGTAACCATGTTTATTACCTTTTATTGGATTTTTGTTTCATGTGTCAAATATTCATTAAATTTCTTACAAATTTGTAGAATGACAGATACTTACATGCTTTACCATGCTGTATAACCTGTTTATTTTTCAGAGTAATAATGGTTGAGATATAAATGGTTTTTATTGGTACAATAAATTATATGCAAAAAACCGGTCTGGATCGGTCTGAAACAGTTCCATAGACCACAAAAAAATGGTCCTAGGTGGTTCGGTTCGGTTCCCTCAATATCTGAGTTGGTCCTAGACCAGTTGCAGTCCATGGTTGCGCATTTTGGGGGCAAAAAACCAGACTGAACTGAACCTTTTAATGCTATCAGTGAAGTTAGCTGCAATACTACTGCTAGTCAGAGATGGATCTCAGATCAAAGAAAGTAAAAGAAAGTACAATATTTTGCTAACAATGAAAGGAAAACCCAGGCATGACTTCATTCCACACATGCTCCACAAGCTCCTGAAAATGCTAACATTCCCAGGAACACTTCCCAATGCTGACTTTCATTGCCCCATGGAGCAGTTTCTCTTTCTTGCCTCAATCACTGAAAATGGGTTCAAAACTGCATCATTTGTTAAGTCTCTCTACTGCAAAATGCATGTCTGTTGATGGCACCCTCAAAGACATGGAAGGGAACACAACCATTCAAATATGCCTGGGCTTTGTCAGACAAAATGGGGTTAAGGACATCACTATTGGCCATGTCATCCCCTAATGACTTGTTCACCAACAGTGGCCCTTCCATCTATCCTAAAAGCAGCCCTACTCCTGAAATGCTGCAGGTTGAGGAAATTATTTACCACTAGGAAACAATTTTACCACTGAAACTGGGATAATATTTTCAAAGATCACAATGAAAAAAGTTTTTCTAGCAGAGAGTTTAATAGCTGATTCTCACATTTTGGAGCACACCCAGAGTGAGGGACATTCAGAGTGTTACAATGTAAAGGACAAAGGCAATTCAACCAAATAAGGAGATTATTTGTCAGCTTATCTCCTAATATAGTAGAATGGTCCTAGTGGAGGAAAAGAATCTTACTATGTGTTACCAAATAAGGCAAATTTCCTTTTTAATGCATACACATGTAGGATATCAATGTAAAGGACAAAGGCAATTCAACCAAATAAGGAGATTATTTGTCAGCTTATCTCCTAATATAGTAGAATGGTCCTAGTGGAGGAAAAATATCTTACTATGTGTAATTCCTGCTTCAATTTCCTTTTTGGTGCATGCAGATTCCGCTTCACTGTGTACATGTACCATGAGTGGATGCTCGAACATAAAGTATTTGTAAAACTCTCAAAACCTCATTTCTTTTACTTTTTTCTACATGGAGCAGGGCATGAGATCCAGATCTCATATTCATGTCAAAGATGTATATAGAACATTTGTATATTACCTATTACCATATATATATGGTAACTATTCCCTGGAACTTGGAGAGGATATAGAATATTTTTTTTTTTGGTGTTGGGTGCAAGGCTTTTGTATAGTCACTGTAAATCCTGTCATGCTGATCAGTTCAACAATGCACCAACAATATGCCTATGTTTTGTCCACGAGCATTCTCTCCCTGCTCCTCTCAAACTGCTTGAGACTGGAAGGGAGTTGACAAGTCACAGAAACCTATAAGTCTGTAAGTGATTTTCACCCCTATCTTGTGTATTTGACACTATGGCCTATATCGTTATCAGGGCAACAACTCAGCCACCAATGCATATTGGGTGCTGCCATCACTACACAATGTGCTCTTCTTGAGATTCACTCAGCAGATGGCTTCCGTGAAATGTATGCAGGGTATTAAAGAATTGGCTAGAATTGGCTGATATTCTGGTAAGATGCCTCAATACACCAGATTGTTGCTGATGTTCTTAATTAAAAGGCCAAGACCTCATTTCTTTATCATATGGAGATCAGATGGCACTCCAAAGAGCCTCAAATGGTTCTCTTAGTTATCAGGGGGCAGTACTTATCAGTCCCCCACTCAATAGAGAAAACACTACGAAAACTTAAAAGAAGTCAGCTCAGTTGTGCCACACACAACTGAGCCACTTCAAACCTTTACTAAAAATCAGTATTAATTCATCTGACCTCTTGGACAACACACAGATAGGTAAATATAAGTAGAAAACATAAAATAGTATAAAGGGAGGACATGCGCAGGCTGAAACGGAAGGAATTATCCCCCGCGTTGACCAGCTGTGGCACTCCCAGTAATATCTGAGGTAGTGGATAAGTTTGTAATCAATTTAAGGACTTTTCTTCGCAGACATAAGTAACGTGTGCCCGGAACCAGTGTGTTAAGTGGGGATCACAAAGCTTTTGTAAGGTTATCTCGTCAATTAGTAAGAGAGCTCTCTACTATTACCGAGGAATCCAAGTGAGCGTGCTTGAAGAGTCTTTAAGACTAGTTTGGACCAAATCAGAGGCATAATAAAAGCTCAAGGGAGTTATAAAAGTCTACAAAGCACAATTTCCTTGTCATTTCTTTGTATACAGTTAGAACGCAATCCCAGAACACCGAGACAGTCTCAATAAAAGCCGTTTCCCTTCGAAGACTACTAAGTTTCGAATTCTATACTTGTGCCCGCACGTAAAAACAATACCTTTTGTTCCAAAAGGTCTACTAGACTTAGACAAGTGATATAAAAATATACAAAATCATTTCCCTGAACTTCTACTAAAGTTCTAACAAAACAAGTGTGGTAATTCTATTTACCATACGAACCCAAACTCGAAGCACCAAGCATGTACCTGTGGTGATAAGTGTTTAAGGTGTTTGTGTGTGTGTGTGTGTGTGTGTGTGTGTGTTGTTTAGGTGTTCACGCATCTTGTCAGCGCGTCTGATTACACTTTCCTCACTCCCGCGTGACATGGTCTTCTCACCGCAGACCGACAGATTACCTACTGCTCCATTACATCTGCAGGCACCCATGGACCACCTGCTGGTCCTTGAACAATAGGCCCTCTTCCATCAGCCCCCCACCCATGGGCCACATTTGCAGCTGGCCTGCAAAATGGACCAACCATTGTGCCTTTACATTCACAGACCAGCTGTTGTTCCGTTACACCCATGGACCATGTTCCATTACACCCGCGGGCTGCCCATGCTCGTGGATCACCTCATGGCTTAGTGACTCACATCAGGGCAAAAAATGACAAATATGAATATTGGAAGTCACCATGTGGGATTCGAACCCTGGACCTGACCATAACACTAATGCTGGTAGCATTTGCATTTAACCATTCAGTCACAGTGATGTTGCAAGGCATCTTCAATTACATCTTTTATGTGTCATAGAACATCAACTTTAAAGTGGTCTAATTAAACATGAGGATGACACAAGGCCAATTGGTATATAAGGATCTGGAAATAATAATAATTTTGGGACATCATGACCAGTGATTTGACTGCCCTACAGGCTCTTACGGACAACATTGCCCTCTATATGTCTGGGCGACTCTGGTACAAAAGGTCCCAACGACTTTCCACCCAAGGAATTGGGTGAGGATCTTGTGACCGCATGTGAACAGGTGATCTCTGTGATAACAGAAGCATGGACGTCAAAGCCTATTCAAGTGGAGTGGGAAATTGAGGAGTTCATTCAGGAGTTGGGATCACGACCTACAGGTATTTGTCAAAGTCATCATTAGTCATAAGAATACCCATCCTTCCCACAGGCATGAATGAGGCTTTGGAGAGCAAATTGATGAAGAAGTTTCCACCTGCATATCCCGCGAACAGGAGGTTCTGGAAGGAAGACCCCTAAGAATTCTGGATTCCTGTGGTTTAACTCTAGCATGGTATTTGCCTGAGGTGATCTCTGAAACCATCCAGGTGAGCTGGACTATGCAGTGATTCTCTGACCCAATTTACCTTCAATTTATTAGAATCGTCTCATATGCGCCTTGGCTCATCTTCGGCCGTACTTGAAGAGTAGTCCGCCTTGGGCTGGAGGTGGATGGTGCAACGACCCTGCTTACTTTCGAACTCCCAAACCATCAGAGATACCCACGGGAAATGTAAATCTTACGCCCCTGTGGACTGGGGCTGGGCATGAGGTATGGTTTACCTTTTGTCCTTGTGCATGTGCTGACGGGTGGCCAGTATGATGGGACACCATTCCAGGCATCATCCACCTTGAAGGACGGTTTTGGGGGAGGTCTATGGTTTCTCCACAATATTATAGACTTTCAAGCTCTAATGGGTGGAGTAATGAGTGTCTTGCATCCAGCGCAGTATTGTATTATGCAGGCCGCCTTTATCCGAGCTGCCAATACAGGCTCTGTAAATCCGGACAGAAGGCCTCCTTCACCCATCCACCCAGATCTTCAGGTGGAACTTCCAGGTATCGGGATTCGATTCCACTACAATCTGGGGACTCTACTTTCAGTATTGTCCAAGTCCGTGAGGCATGGCGTGTCCAAGTCTACAGAAGAACGATATTGCTTTTCCTTCTTCGTGAGGGAATGGGTACTTCATCAGCTCAGATATGAGGAACATCTGTGGATGTTGGATGAGATGTTTCTGGCTTGGCTGTAAATGGGGGAACATGAGAAGATGGAAAGACTTATATATCTGGAACAGGGAGGGGAATGGAAACCGTTAATTTGAATAGGTAGCGTGTTATGAAAATTAGATCTAAATCATCATCCGTAACCACTGAGGTTAAATTGCTCCGGACCGTTGAAAGTCTGCCAGGGCCTGTGTCTGAAAGGCCCGCCACATTCCCACCTGTCTCCTAGCATAGCACCCTTTTCTCGGCGTAGTTTCCCTCCCCAGACCATCCCACATCTCGGCCCAATGCTGGAAATACAACATAGTCCAATGCATCTCCCAGGGAACAAGCTTGAATTCCTCAAGCCACCTATCTTGTCTTGCCTTTGCCCAGAGATAGTTTACACAGTACACTAGAGCATCCATTAGTCGTAAAAAAAGAGATTGACTAAATCACCTGCATTCTTCCATATGAAAGCTTTCGATAGAATCCCCATGAATATTCATTCCCCAGAACCAGGGAATATTTTCGTTTCTATGGCCCTGACCATTTGGCTGAGAAATGTTCGGAAGTGTATGTGTATCCTTTTTTTGAATGGGTTTGTACTTGTTCAGAATCTCTGCAGATGCACCCAGTTCGAACAAGGCCCATCGAGCTTGTGCATAGAATAGCTGCCGGTGTTTAGCCAGATCGACCTTGTCATCTGCCATAGGCTTACACCCCATCATCCGAATAAAATGGCTCAACGCCAATCTGCTCTTATGAGCTGAGAGTTATGGATGAAATGGGAGCAATGTACTGAGCCTCCTGTAATTTGATTCCGGTGGTAACCCATAAAGTGATCCCCAGTGATTCGTTTCTGGTTGATTCCTCTCCCATCAGTACAACTTGAATATCCTTTTGGGTTGGAACTGGTTAAATGAATTCAAATGAGGGGCGTTCAGGTTAGGCAAAGAGGAATGCACCTTTCGGAGCTTCCGCCTCATAGATATCCATCGCCGCGGGGTCAGTAACGCGGTTCCTCTGGGCCTCTGCAGCAAGTCCATTCCAAAGTTGGATTTGTTCAGGCCGAGCAGTGTCCGAAAGTTTTGCTAACTGAATGATTATCAGGCCCGGATGAACTTTGAGATATGGGCTCTTCTCCACCCATTTCTGAAAGTTTTTATGGTATTGTCAATTCACATTGTAAACAACAATGCATTTCAATACGTCCCCCGTTTTTGTGTTCTTGAGTGCCTCACAAAGGCAATACTTTACCCTCCCCGGGTTATTCCATGTGGAATCCATGGAATGGGGGGTGGACTGCAGAAATTCCAGATGGATTCCATGGAAGGGGGGGATGGATTCCATGGAAGGGGGGGGATGGATTCCATGGAAGGGGGGGATGGATTCCATGGAAGGGGGGATGGATTCCATGGAATGGCTGATGGATTCCATACTTTTTCCACATGGAATCCATACTCTATTCTATATGTTCTATACCATTTTAAGGGTGGAATCCATATGGAGTCCATATGGATTCCATATGGATTCCACATGGAATGACTTTATGAAATGATTCTAAGTTGAGCAGGAAAAATTGAAATGTATTAAATAGACTACACAATTTATTTTTACTATTCTCAATATTTAAGGGAGGGGGGAAGACAGGGGGAAGTGATGGAGGGGGGATAATGTAGTAGAGAGTGAGGGGGGAGGGAGGGGGAAGGAGTGATGGAGGAGAGAGGGAGTGATGGAGGAGAGAGGGAGTGGTGAAGGGTGAGGTGGGAATGGATGGAAGGGGGAGCAATGGGAGGGGGGGCAATGGAGGGAGGGGGAGCAACAGAGGGAGGGAGGGGGGATGATGGAAGGGTGGTGGTGAGGAATGATGGAGGGAGGGGGAGCTCACCTGGGCTCGTCGTTGCCCATTTCCGTTGACGCGAGCGGAATCCTCCGTGCGTGGGCGCGCGTCTTCGTCCCTGGGCGTGCGTCGTCGTCGGTCGTGGGTGGTGGGCTGTATTGGCGTCCGTGGGGGTGGGTTGCCGTTTCGTTCGTCTTCGCGTTTGCGCTTGCGTTGCGCTCGTGGGTGTTCGTTGTCGTGCGTGGGTGTTCGTTGTCGTGTCGTGGGCGCTCGTGGGCAGTCGTTGTCGTGGGCGGGCAGTGGGGTCGTGTCGTCGTCTTCGTCTGCTGGACGTCCGTTTTCGTTTGCGTGCGGTTGCGGCTCGTTTGGTTGTCGTGTCGTGGGCGTTCGGTGTCGTGTCTGGGCGCTCGTTTCTTTTCGTGGGCGCTCGTGGGCAGTGGGGGTCGTGTGGGGTGGTGTGCGTCGTTTGTGGGTGGGCGGGCTCGTCGGTTGTCGTGTCCGTCCGTCGTTTCGTTGCCACGTCGCTGACCGTGACGTGGCACCTGGTTTGTTGTCAAAAGGTGGACTGGGAGGGGTTACCCAGTCCACTTACCTGGGCTGCAGTCGAGGCGGAACGTCCATTGACGTTCCGCATGGTTGTCGTCGCCTCCCATCCGTGTGACGTGGCGTTGCCACGTCGTGTGGCTCTTGCAATGGCGGGGTCGTTGTTGACGACGTTGCGTGTCGTCGTGCACCGTCAGCGTGGTCGTCGTCGTCAGTGAGGTCGTCGTCGTGGTCGTGGTCGACGTCGATGTCGCGGGCGGTCGTCGTGGCTTGAAATGGTGGGGTGGATGGTGATGGTGATGGTGGAAGGAAGAAACGACGTGGCATTGGCAATGCGTCGTGTCACGTTTGAGACGCCACGTGACAAAAGGCGGTATATACATACCTTTACTTTATGATATAATAATGCCTTAGTGGCTCAGTTGGTTTGAGCACTGTTAATATTGACAAGGTTGAGAGTTCAATTCCTGTAGATGTAAAATTTCTATTTTTACTTAAATATAGTAAGGACACTATAAATACTGTATTCTAATGGTATAATGGTCATCCATGGAATCCATGTGGACTGCTCCATGGAATCCAAGGTGGATATGCCTGCATTCCATGTGGAATCCAATGGAATCCATATGGAGTGGTGTTGGAGTCCATATGGAATTAATCATTCCATGACCATTCCATGGTCATTTCATATGGAATCCATGAGGTCTATGGAATAAGGAAATGGCTGGGTCCTCAGCCAACATGGATTCCATGGATTCCATATGGAATTATCCATGGATTCCATGGATTCCACATGGATTCCATACGGAATAACCCGGGGAAGGTAAAGACCTCTGTTTGTCCTGTAATCAAAGTGCGCGTGCTGCACTGAACACGCGTCTGTCGTCCCTCCTCATTCCCAATGCCTCCCAAAGGGAAAGGTCCAAAAGGAACACTAAAGCCGGTGGACCGAACCGAACCAGACCATGGTCCGGTCTTTTTTTCGGTTGCAGTTGCCCCAATTTGGGGTTGGTCCGGTTGCCGGTTGCCTCATTTCGAAAATATATTAAAACCGTTCAAAAACCGGTTTTGATCGGTTGCAACCGGTTAAACGGTCACGTGCGTTACATGCCCTTGTAACCACGTTTATTACCTTTTATTGGGTTTTTGTTTCATCAAAAACGGTTAAGAATTGAGAAAGATATAACCAAATCCATATTTTACCCAAGTCTCTACAAGATGTAATTCAGTTTCAGTCATAGCTATGTCAAATCTTCATTAAATCTCTTCAAAATTGGTAGAATGACGGGTATTTATATGCTTTACTATTTTATATAACCCATTTATTTTTCAGAGTAATAATGGTTGAGATACAAATGGTTTATATTGGTATAATAAATTATACACAAAAAAACAGGTCTGGATCGGTCTGAACCGGTATCATGGACCGCAAAAGACCGGTCCTAGGTGGTTCGGTTCGGTTCCCTCAATATCTGGGTCGGTCCTGGACCGGTTGCGGTCCACGGTTGCGCTTTTTCGGGGCAAAAAACCGGACTGAACTGAACCTTTAAACACTACCAAGCTCTGCCTACACTCCTCTTGGTAGCATTCATTTCCTCCCTTCCACTTTTTTCTTGATTTTCCAAGCTGATCAGTTCAATCTAGGGTATACACATACTCAATTGCAAGGAGGAAATGTGGAAAATAGTAAGTATTACTTGATAGCACACATCTGATTATGTTACCCAGCCTATGATGCAAACATAGCAATATTCAATGAAAATGAAACGATCAACAACACCGATAACAACAACACCGAGCCCCATGGTGAAGTCCATACTGACAAAGGGTCCTCTAGTCCATTTGAGCAGGCACCACAGCTCAATGACATCAAAGTGGAGTACCATCCAAGAAGCGGATGCCAACCTCAATTCTTTAGCTTTGATGAGTACAAAAGCAATTTCCAGGATCTCGATAGTGTTGACATTCCAGTTGATCCTGAGCCATGGAAACCTTTCCGTTCTCGTCTCGATTTTGAACTGGCAGAATTGATTCTTGATACCCACATGAATAAGAATCAAACGAATGAACTCATCTCCCTCATCCATCAATGTATTCTAGACCCCAAGTCTTTTACCTTGAAAAATGAACCTGACTTTCAAAAATTTGGAGAATGCTG